ATTTTTTTTTTTTTTTTTTTTTTTTTTTTTTTTTTTTTTTTTTTTATTCTTTATTTACCATTTTGTCCCCTTTTTTTTTCTCCTTTTTTCTCTCTTTTGCTGTCTTCTTTTTTTTTGTCTCTTTTTCTTTCTCTCTTTATGCCTCTGCCTCCTCTCCCTCTCTCTCTGTCTCCTCTCCCTCTCTCTCTGTCTCCTCTCTGTCTCCTCTCTGTCTCCTTCTCTCTGTCTCCTTCTCTCTGTCTCCTTCTCTCTGTCTCCTTCTCTCTGTCTCCTTCTCTCTGTCTCCTTCTCTCTGTCTCCTTCTCTCTGCCTCCTTCTTTCTGTCTCCTTGGTCTTTTTTTTCTCTCCTTTCTGTCTCTCAATTAATTTATTGTCTCCTTTTTCCTGTCCCCTTTTTTCTGTCCCCTTCTAATTAATTGTCTCCTTTTATTAACTGTCACCTTTTATTAACTGTCTCCTCCTTATTAAGTTTCTCCTCCTGATTAAGTGTCTCCTCCTCCTTATTATTAAGTGTCTCCTCCTCCTCCTGATTATTAAGTGTCTCCTCCTCCTCCTCCTGATTATTAAGTGTCTCCTCCTCCTGATTATTAAGTGTCTCCTCCTCCTTATTATTAAGTGTCTCCTCCTCCTCGTGATAATTAAGTGTCTCCTCCTCCTCCTCCTCCTCCTGATAATTAAGTGTCTCCTCCTCCTCCTCCTCCTCGTGATAATTAAGTGTCTCCTCCTCCTCCTCCTCCTCGTGATAATTAAGTGTCTCCTCCTCCTCCTCCTCCTCCTCCTCCTCCTTATTAAGTGTCTCCTCCTCCTCCTCCTCCTCCTCCTCCTTATTAAGTGTCTCCTCCTCCTGATTGTTTGATGAATTAGGTTGTTCTTCCTCGTTCTTTTTTATCAACATTACGTCCTCATCCTCTCCATGAAAAATGGCTACTAGAACCTCAAGAATTGCAGGTCCTCCTCCTGCTGCTGCTGCTGCTGCTGCTGCTGCTGCTGCTGCTGCTGCTCCTGCTCCTGCTCCTGCTCCTGCTGCTGCTGCTGTTGCTGCTGCTGCTGTTGCTGCTGCTGCTGCTGTTGCTGCTGCTGCTGTTGCTGCTGCTGCTGCTGTGGGCGAGTTGATATCGGAGGCTGAGGTTGCTGTGTGCCTTTAGGGTGTCTCCTTTTGTCTCCTTTTTGTCCCTTTTTCTCCTTTTTGTCTCCTTTTTGTCCCTTTTTCTCCTAATTGTCTCCTTTTTGTCTCCTTTTTATCCTTTTTGTCTCCTAATTGTCTCCTTTTGTCTCCTTTTGTCTCCTTTTGTCTCCTACAGGACTCAATAAATGAATTAATAGGATCTAAAGGTCCTTTTTGTCGTCTGTTTATTCGTCCATCAGGGACAGAAGAAGTAGCAAGAATATATGCAGAGACACCTGATAAAAAGGAGACACTACAACTTGCTGCTGCTGCTGCTGATCTACTCATCAAGGCTGCAGATAAAGCTATAAACCCTAAACCCTAAACCCTAAACACTAATTAGACAGGAGACACTACAACTTGCTGCTGCTGCTGCTGATCTACTCATCAAGGCTGCAGATAAAGCTATAAACCCTAAACCCTAAACCCTAATTACAACAATGTTGCAGCGGCTGCTGCTGCTGCTGCTGCTGCTGCTGAACTACTAGTGCATGCAGCAGCACAAACCCTAAACCCTAAATTTGAATATCCACAGGAGACAGATTGCCTTTTGTGGATACCCTAAACCCTAAACCCTCTTCATGTGTTGAAGGCAAACCCTAAACCCTAAATTGTGGCAACAAACCCTAAATCCATATAATTAGGGTTTAGGGTTTATATATGTAGTTATTTGTCCCTATCTGTCTCCTTATGTGTCTCCTTTTCCTTCATAACTAACAAAAGACAAAACCCTTATTAACAAAACACAAACAAAAGAAAAAAACCTTTGCTGCTGTCTCTGCAGCTTTGCTGCTGCTGCTATGACTACTGTGCTGCACCTTTGCTGCTGCTTCTACAACACCAGCAGCAGCAGCAGCAGCAGCAGCAGCAGCAGCAGCAGCAGCAGGTGTAGGGTTATTGTGTTATATTTTTTTGTTTGTTGTATCTAAGACGACCCCGATGGAAACTAAACCCTGATGAACCCCACACACCTGTCATTACACCACTGTCTGCTGCTGCTGCTGCTGCTGCTGCTGCTGCTGCTGTTGCTGCTGCTGTTGCTGGTGCATCAGGGGCTGTTGGTGCTGTATCTGGGGCTATTGGTACTTCTGTAGCAGGGGCTAATGTTGCTTCTGTAGCAGGCGCTGCTGCTTCTGTAGCAGGATCTGCTGCTGCTGCTGCAGCAGGGGTTTCTGCAGCAGCAGCAGCAGCAGCAGCAGGTGATGTTGTTGCATTAGCAGCACCAGACCTTTCAGCAGCAGCAGCAGCAGCAGCAATTCTTGCGAGGTGTCTAGACACCCCAGGGGTGCGAAGGAAGAATTGCCAACCATCATCATCAGTAGGAAAAGATTCTCC